GAAAGACTCCTCTCGTATTTTGAAATGATTTGTTCATCAACTGTGGAAAGTAGCTCTTCATCCATCACCAAGATTGATGTACTCGACGGGCCGAGAACTGCTCTCTCTCAATCCGTTCAGCCATCATCTAGTTCTATTGAAGTGCGTGACCGACGACAAACTAGAAAAAGACAGATCTATGTTGATTCTACATTGGATGATGGATGCTATGTGTGCACGAAGTCATCTTTGCAAGCACTGTGTAAATACTTCATCACAAATCCATTGTGTGAATTTTGTGGTGAAGATTACACATGGGCTTCAGCTACTTTTTCAAATCAAGGGCACGTTTGTAAGATTGAAGTTCCCTGTGTGTGCAATGACTCAGTTACTTGGCTCAGTTCTGGAGTTTTGGGACACCCTGCAAAGTACTACGCCAATGTCAGGTGAGTATAATATGTACATGACCTACTTTGCAAGTAAGCATAATCGAATACAAATATCACAGCAAAGTTTGTCACATATATCTATAACAAGTTTACAGGTGCAAGTATATCCTCTTGCATTATGTAAATTATGGCTTTCCATTCTGTTCTCTTATGTTTTATTTCTATTATTAAATTAGTATTCTCAGGTCAGTGATACAATTGAAAAAAATCTTTGCAGAATGGTTCATGCATTCACATGTACTGGACTTACTGAAACTCAGTATCGTGGTTTTACTGAGGCCGCTGGCATTGGCTGTGTGATGGACAAAACTATAGACACAAGTATGTGGTATATATATGATGATTTACCCCTATGATCTTTTGGTGTATGACTAAATGTAGCCCTTACTGTACCTTGCAGCTTATTGAGCAGTATAATGTTTTTTGGCAGTATATAAAGACCAGGGATTTGGATATAGGTCTGTAGTTCAGGAATTGTGCAACAAGACCATGGCTGATGCAAGGACAGAAGTTAAAGCTACGCAAGGCTATATTGCAAGTGGAGATGTAAGTTGACATGCAACCAGCTACTTGTTTGTTGTGTGTGTTCAGTTTTGTTGAAGCTATTTGCAGTGGGCCAAATTTGAAATAACACCTTGTGCAGTCCTAGGTGATTTTGTATCTTCATTCAAGTTACCTTCACTTTCTTCAATGCCACCTTTCTTCCATTTTTTTTTTATTCCAATTACTCTTTCAGTGTATAATAACAGATGCCAGACATGACTCAAGTAGATCAGCCATGCATTCTACAGTGACAGCTATTTCTATGAGGTAAGACGTTCCAACCGAATGCTAAGCCCCATGAATTTGGATAACTCGTGCCTCACTGTTCTGAAAGAATGTGTCTATCAACTTATCACTCGTCTTTGTCATTTTTGCCTCCCTGCAGCAACAAAAAAATTATTTCTGTCTGCAACTGGAGCCGTGCAGATGAAAGAAGTGCTCCCAGTAGCGAAGTACCAATGACAAAACAGCTGGTAACAAACCTCACAGACACTGAAGGTGCTTTTGGCTGTTATGTAGTGGTATTCCTGTATAACTAAAAACCATAACATATCAAACATACCCTTGCTTTTAGCATACAACGTAACAGAGGTGGCCCATGACTGTGTGAGATCATTGAAAAATTGGTTTGAGCAAAGAGGCATCAAGAATTCCTTTGACACCTGGCATGGTAAGTATGTATAAAAGTTAATAAGTCAGTGACTGTGTGGTGCTCTTCAGTTTACTTGGGCAGCACTTGGAATATCGTCATCAGCCTTTCCACTCTAAAAATTCTTCCCTGCCATAGGTACTAAAGGGGTAGCACGCGACATGAAGAAAGTCTGTAGTGGTGCTCAACGTGATGAGGGGAAGACATGGTTCTCTGAATTATCGGATAAAGGTACAGGGATGTATTAGTCTTGAACCTTATGTTTTTGATTTTAGGGCTTTTTTTGTGCAGTCTAAATTTTTATTGTGATGTTGTTTAACTAGCCAAAGCCACGAAAACACATTTCTACTGGGCAATGAGGAACAATGATGGGACTGATGTTGGGTTTCAGACCTACCTAATCAACATAGTGAACCATTACCAGGTTTGTAGATGTGCTTCCTTGTAAAAAAATGTATGATTCAACAATCCTATAACATATTTCATATCACCTTCATTGATTTGTATAAATGACTGGCCTTGTTTGAAGTGGCTAGTTAATTTTGGCATTATTGTTACCCTAGGGCAAACATGACCTGTGTAGTAAAGATTCACGATGTCAACAACCAGGCTATCTGTGCAGCAAAAAGCCCTTGACCTCACCACAAGCAAAAGAAGCCTACATGAAAGCTATAACAAGGACTACCATCTACAAGAACCCTTCTGATTATCTTCGGGTTAGTGAGCGCAACCAAGTGTACTATGCAGGGGTTTCATTAACTTTTGAAGTAGGAGGGTTCTTGTGTTAGAGTAAGCGGGCACCCCCACCGACACGAGGGCCGAAGGCCTGAGCCGCTAGGGGGGTCCGGGGGCATGCTCCCCCGGAAAATTTTTAAAATAAGACTCTCGGAAATGCATTTTCCAGCATTCTGAGGTGGAAATTTATTATTCTACATCCTCATTTTGCAAACACAAATTGTGAATAATTTAAGGAGGTTTTACCCACTAGCACAAAGTGACTATATGAAAGACAATATTGCAACTGTTCACAGCCTCAGAGAATTTACTAAATTGACAAACATTGTTCTTTCATTAAAACACTACTGTAACTGTTCACAATTTACTAAATTGACAAGCATTTTGACCTCATTAAAACACTACTGCAACTGTTCGCAGACTCAGGGAATTCACTAAATCCATAACATGAATAATTATATTAAATCTAACTCATTGGCTTATATTGTTTACTTTGTTTACAAATAAACAGTGTTAGGTGAAACAACTAAACTAAAAGTCATCGAAATCAGAGCCATAATCTGAATCATCACCGTCATCTGCAGGTAGCTCAAGTGCTTTGGAGGTTGCATCAACTTCCTCTGCAATTGAAGGGTGACTTGGCGTGACACCCTCCGCGTCACCCTCCGTCTGTACACCAGCATCCTGCACAGTTACAAAGTTCTCACTTATATCACCGGCGCTGGCAACCACTGGTGTGCTGACAAACTTTGGAGGACACTTTCGCCGTGGTTTTGCAGCTAACCAAGCTCTAACAGAAGCATCAATCACTTCTTCAAATTCCTTACTTCCCACTTTTGGACCATTAATGAGAATGTGTAGTAGGGCGTTGAGCATGTCATTCTTCATCCTACTCCGAAGCCTTGTCTTCATCAGTTTTAAAGAACTGGCACCCCTTTCTGGCCATCCATTTGAGACTGGAAGAGAAATCACTGCCTCTGCCACCTTTGCAACCAGTGGAAGATTAAATGGAACCAGGTCCTTCATGAACATTAGCTTCTGGAGGCACCAGTCAGTTGAAGTGACTGTAGGTTTGCTCCCACCAGGGGGCTTTCTTACTTCCTCAGGCAGCTCATTCTTCCATTTTGCCAAGTCGTACTTGAATACCTGCCACTCATCCATCAGCTGCCTTTTGTCGCTGTCTTCATCAAAGAACTGCTCAGCCAAGAGTTTCACTGATACACTGCCATAATCCCTAAATCCCGGCTGGCCCCTTTCTGGAACTAGTGCAGGGTCGAATATGCTAAAAGCAGACAGGAGAGGAAGGGTGGGAAATCTGCTGTTTAAGCTTTTTTTCAGTGAATTGACATATTTCACCAGGAAATTGCTGAGAAACAGCTCATCTCCATCAGAAGCAATGAGATCAGCTTGTTCCAGTCTGCCTCCANAATATCGAAAAAGCACTTGTGAATGAAAAAGAACCTGTTCTTTACTATCTGAAAGATGGACCAAAGCGGGGATTTGTCAGAGAAGAGCTTCAGATTGTTCCACCTAAAACTGAGCTACCTCCTGAAGGAATTCGATGAGGAGAATGCTTCATAAGCCTCTATGTGTTTTTTCTGAGATATTGTCATTAGTTTTTTCTGATGGTTCAAACGAATTTTGAGATTGTCTTGAGAATCAAATCTCAAAATTCTTCAATTTTGCCTTAAAATAAACTGCGCCAATCATTTTGCCTTAAAATCATCGTTGTTGAGCAAAACTGCCCTGTTTTTCAGGCAATTGTGCCAGAAACCCACTGAATCAAATCTTCAATTTTTCTTTGATTTTTTTTTTGAAAGAAACTGTGTCCTTCATTTTGCCTGAAAAACATGGTTCTTTTTTTTAAAGAGATAAAAAATGAAAAAAAATCAGTTTTCAAAATTGCCCTGTTTTTCGGGGTCTTTTTAAAATATGCCAGAAACCCCCTTTTCCTACTACTGTGCTGTTTGAGAGCAACAAGAGCAACCATGCTGTTTGAGAGCAACTGATTCTCAGTTTTCGCGCAAGAAATTAAAAAACGAAGAATCTCTCGCTCCTCCTTCTTTCTTTGCTCTCAATTCAAACAGTATGGAAACGCTTGCTATGCAGGCTACAATGAACAAGCAGTGTATGCTATGTAATTGCAGTCTTAAAAGTTAAATTTGGTAATATTTCTATGGAAAATGTTTTTAATCCATCGAAAAGGAAGGACTGCAAGGGTGAAATTTTAGCGCAAAATCTTCAGAGAGCTGGATTCGAGGTGGTGAAATGTGACAAGTTTTCAAGTCACGTTTGTAATCCTTGTGCTGGAAAGATTCAAAATCTTGGATCACTGTATTCATTCGTCCAGCGATCTTTACAAGGTAAAGTTTGCTACAGCTACTCCAACAAAGTCAACTTTGGCAAACAAGCGCTTACTGGGCACTCCAGAGGGAAAGAGTCTGATCCGCAAAGCAGTTTGAGCACTATCGCCGGCGACCAAAACAAAAAAGGGAAAGTCTTAACGGAAAACTTTGGAATTTGTGCAGGAAAAGCTTCAAGCTTCTGAGGAGGAAAAACGATGATAGTGGCCAGTATCTGAACACAGACCATCTTCCTGAAAGTGGCCTCCAAGTCAAGGTTGTTTTTAAAACCGAGTCTGGAAATATTCTCATAAGAATTCCCCACGATAAGACCACTAAATGTTTAATGATGCAAGTATGGAAGACCGAACAGGGTTTATTTCCATTGGAGCACTTTACTTCACTGATGGTTATTGTTCCCCAGAGCCAGAAGCGGCTGCAAGAAGAGGTGAAGTCCACAAAATATATGCAAGTATGTGACAAAAAATGGCTGGTAGCAACTATGAGTATAGCAAAACATTGAGAATTGTTTCCTGAGAGTCTAATAAAAGCTGTCAACAAAAATGCCTCTGATGAAATGTCAGAATACCTGAAATCTGAAAGCATGTTGCTTTTCCGTAAGACCCAATCTGGTAAATATCGGCGCATCTGGTTCTCTCCGAAGTAAGTCTTTAACTGAGGAATCGTCGATGATGTCCCCCTCTAAGTAGTAAAAGTTAAAAGTTTGAGATGTTTGAATTATTGTCAATTCAAGTACTAAAAGCTTCCCAAATAAAACGTACGTAAACGTCCGAGTGCAAGCTACGTGATATACTTACTTTCGAAAGCTGTTTTAATTTCCTTTCCAAATGAGGTTTCTATCTTCTGTAGCAATGAGGACTCCTCCTTGTNGAGGAAAAAGAATTCGCAAGGGATGGAAAGACCACCAAGAAGTTTGTTTATGATGGAAAGTATGGTGTCATGGAAAACAAACACAACAGGTGTCCTTACTGTGGTAATGAAGGCTACATAAAATACATGTACTTGGGTCTGGAAAATAAAGTGAAAAACTGGTTTAGAAGTAAAACTATGTGTACAAAAATCTTGGCACATTAGTATGGAAAAGAACACTGGTTAGAGAATAGGGAAGGCTGGGATTTGAAGAAAGAGATATGGGATGGAAATCGGTGGTCAGAGCTTCAGTGGTTTTGGAACCCACATAGTGTTTGGGCTTTGCCAACTCGTTGCGTTCACTGTGACATTCCTATATCTACAGACCACCTCATAAACTCACCAGATCATGATGGAGAAGGGGTCTTTAAAGTAGTTGAATGTCCTGTTTGCTTTGAAAACTTTGAACATATTAACATGGCCAAAGGTTCTCCATTAAACTTGGCACTCATAGGGCACTTTGACGGCTGGCAGCCATTTGGTACAAGTTATAGAGGATCGGGGTCTTTTGAAGTTACCATTGCCAATATGAAAAAGAGGGAAAGAAATCATGTGGATGAAGTGTATGTTGTAGGATTTGTGCCATGCTTTGAAGTTCCAAATCTACCAGAGTCACTGGATCCATTCTTGCAGCCTTTTGTGAATGATTTGTGCAATGGGTTTATTCAAGGTTTTCAAGTGGACTACCCCACAGGAATCACAATTGCTGGCTATGAACCTTCTCCCTTAGAAACTGTGCGATTGCTATTATTGTGCTGGACAGCTGACCATCCTGGACAATGTGAAACAGGAAAGTTTTTGAACCAAGGGAGGTGTGGATGTCGTAGGTGCAAGATGGTGGGCCAGCATCTTGAGAACAGCTCAAATACACACTATTATTATGGCCAAAATCGCTTCCATTATAGACATCCTTGGGGACAGAGGACCATTGAATCAGAACTTGTTAATATTTTTGACATTGAATATGAAAGCAGCTCAAGTGTTAGAAAAAAAATGTCTTCAGAGAGGGGTTTTACTGGCCTGTCCATTTTTCATAAATACCTTTATCCTCTCTATGGATTTGACATTTTGAATCATCTTGTTTATGATGTGTATCACACTGTTCCCCTCAATGTTGTCAAGAATCAGGTTGTTAGAGCTTTGGATCTTGAAATGCTGGACAAAGCCAAGCTTGATAAACAAATTGAAAACTTTCCTTGGACAGGTGAATTCAAAGATGGAAGGCTCCCAAGACACCTTGGAAAAGACTGCAAGGGTATTGGTTATTGGAAAGCTGAAAGTTTNGGTTCCATAGCAGGTGCTGATCCCTGGAAATTTGACTTGCAAGTGGTGTGATCAGCTCTCCACATCTGATATTCGAGAGAATTCTTGTCCATTTGTTCATGCCGCTCACACTGTTTGCATCCTTGGCTTAGGGCCTCCACATCAAGAACCTTTCCTGTGTCCATAGATATGACAGTCACACAACCATTGCGTGACGAGTAGCCTCTCTTTTGCCATGTTCCGTCACAAGAAACACCACAGTTCACAGGTAGACCTTCAGAAGAATTTACATCCTTCTTGAGAGATAAAACTTCTTCTCCTGCCTTTTTCATTGTTTCCTTTGCAATCGCTTTCATGTGACGGCCGATTACGCGCGAGTTGCTGAGGAAAGCTTTCTCATTTGGAGGTGGAGGCATGTTCATAATTGTGCAGAATTTCCTTGCACC